CACTAAGTGGAGAGCAGCCTTGCCTGCCAGTCCCTGCCCTGTCTCTAAGGGCCTTTCTGGCTACCTACGCTTTGCTCTGCAGACAGATGAACAATTTTACCAGCCTGTTTCAGTGCCTGCAAAGCATAAGTCACTGCAACATTTTTTAAGACAGTCGGAATGGTGAATACTCTTTTTGAACTCGCCCTGACTTTCTTTCCCTTCAGCCATAATGAAATCAGAGTTCTAAATAAAGTGCTTACATGTGTTTTTAAACAGCCAGATTCACCTCTGTTTACTTTGCCTCCAGGAATATTTCTGGCTGGGAGCTCTGGCGCTTCATTTATGGGTAGTTCAGTTAAGGCAGGCCATGACACGCTTCCAAGATAGCCTTTGGGCAGAATTCAAAAGAGCTGCTTCAAATTCTTTCTAGCAGCAAAGAGGGAATTAATAAATACAATTTTGAAAGTAAGTATGGGTGAGATGTAAGAGTCATATCTTCTCTGGAATGAGAAGGGATATAAATACATAGATAACTATGCAGGTTTCCATCTCAGGTATTTGTTTACAAGAAAAGGGTTGGATGCCTTAAGTTCACATACTTTATTGCTACCACGGTTATTTTCCTGAAGTCAGATGCCAACCTATAGCCTTTCTGCTTCCATCTTCCGTGCCTCCCATTATCTACCAGTGTACAGGTTCATTCCTATTTATAAGGCTTGGGGTCCTATTAATTTTGCAGACCGCCTCTCATCCCTCTGATACATACTTTTTTTTATTACCACATAGAAATGGGATTCATAGCTGGCATGTCTCTGCTTCTACCCTGTCTATACCATATCATGTGACTATGTCTTTTTCCTGCTCTGTAAATCTGCCCAGGATAGTGATTTGCTTTGCCTATAGACATCCCACAGGGCAGGAAACCCTGACTGCTCTTAGGACTGGAGGGGAAGGAGGGGTAGGAGTGGGGGGGGGAGGAGAGGGAGTGGGGAGAATGGGAGGGTAGGGGGAGGAGGGGAGAAAGTGGAAATTTTTATAAACAAATAAATTAATTAATAAAAAAAGAATGTGATGTTATGGTGATTGCACCATGGGTCTTTTGGAGATTTTATGTAGTGTTAATTTTCTCGGAATTTGCTGTCAAGACAGCAAGCCTAGGCTAGCTTGGTGAAGGACGGCATCCACATGGAGGAGAGATAGCCATCTCAGAATATACTTCCTTAGATACACAATCTTCCAGTTCCAGGCTGCTAATTAAAGACACATCTTTGACGGTATAAGTAGAGTGATTTCACAGAGAATATTCAATCATTTAAAGAAACACTACAATAGCTTCTGCCTTGTAAACATGATAGGTTGAAAAACTGGTCTCATCTCTTCTAAGAAGACCAGGAAGACTGAAATCTTATGAAATGTCCTGAAAAGGTTGGACAAAGAGCTGCCTCAAAGTTCTAGCAATTATGATGTAAAGTTGCCAGGTGTATAATTTTTGTGGTGACATAATTTTTCAGATCATTTTGTTAAATACCAAAGACAGTTATCTAAATCATATGATCACAATATCTTTAGTGTTCAAAGATACAGCCAAAATGTCTTCTAGCTGGTTGACTTCAAATTTTTGTATTTAATAAATTCCCTGCTTTTTCTATGAGACTCCATTCTTATTAGTCACAAAAAATCCTCTACTAATGCCTTTCTTATGTTTTTCCCTGTTTGTCGCAATCTTTTCCTTTCTTACCCCCATCTGTTGCTCCTAAGAAAACAGGGTGGTAGGACTGAATCATTTCTGTTATCTGAACCTCTTTTTTTTCTTTTCTTTGTTTTCTCTGGTTCTGAATAAAGAGATAAAAATGTTTAACAAAGCAAAATCTACAGATATCCTTTAATATTATTAACAATTCCACTTCACCTATTTCTTCTCAGCAGGTAAATAAAGAAACAAAGAAAATGCCCAACACAAAAATCCTCCAGTTACACCATCCTAGCTTTCTTTGTCTTCTGCCTTCTCTCTTTTTTCTCTCTTAATATTTTTATTTGTTTCTTAATTATCCATTCTCATTCAACATAAAGGGTGTTTTGATAGCTTTTTTCATATACACTTTTTTGGCTTACTCTTCTCCCTCCTCTGTTCACTTGTTCTGTTTCCCTCAGTTGCTACCATTCAGCTCTCATGTCATATGTATTCTTCTGTTCTTTCTCCCAACCGTTCTTTGAAATCTATTTTTTGCTCTTTTGTGATCCCCTTTCTAGTTTCATTCCCTATATGTATGTCACCATATACACACATATACATAAACATATCTAGGATTCACATATGAGTTAAAGCAGGCTGTACTTGTATTTCTGAGTGGACATCTAGGCTTATTGCTTCATAATTTTTGTTAAGAAGGCAGCAATGAATATGGATGTGCAAATATCCATGTGCAAATATCCATGGCAGGACTTAGAGGTCTGTGGGTATATTCCCAGGAATGTTACCCATGGGGGTCAGATGGTACTTCTATTTTTAATTGTTTTTGAATAATCTTCATTCTGATTTCTACCATGTGCCTCACATCTCTCAGCAACAATGAATAATGACTCACTCATAATTCTCCACCTGTTAATCAAATCATAGAAAATTCCAATCAATAAAAGTGCTAAGAAACTGAAGAGTCAGGTCTCAAAATGTACAAAAAAAGCCAATAAGTAATTTTGAAAGTGCTCAACAACCCTAGCAAACAGAAAGACACAAATTGAAACTAGGAGATTTCACCTTTCTCTGTAACTTCTCCCCCAGAAACAAGGGGTCAGCCCCACTAACTCAAGTTTCTCCCCTTTGGTTCAGTCTTCTATTCTTGCAGGCCCCCTCCCCTGGTTCTGTGTTCTCAAACGTCAGCAGTTACCTATCAGTTGCAAAACCCAGCTAGTTCTTCCCAGCCTTGTTCTGGCTGACCTCCAGCTGCTTTCTGTATACCGACTTCTTTTTCACTTTCTCTGCCACTCTGACCCTTTGATTTCATCTACTGACTTTCTCTCCTGGGTCACTCAAGTCTTCGTTAGCATTTTTATTCAAAGCCTCAAGGAATCTATTTGGACCTATCTTTGACCTTTTAGATTACACATCCTGAACTACCCTTTAGCTTGTATAACATTTAAACTCTTGATTGATTTCAACTCCAACTTCATTCTCACAAATTTCCCATATTTAGATCTTCAAAACACCCCTAAGTACAGCTGGATTTTTTTTGCCTCTCCTCATCCTCCCCTTTCTGCTCTTTCTTCAATATAACCTTTCTGGATAAATTAATTTATGGAAATTTAAACCACATTTGTTTTGCTTCAATAAGTTGAGCATTACTGCAACAGTCTTTTACCCTTTTCATTAAACTTGACTTGTGCTCCACAATTCATCACATACACTATCAGCACTGCATCCTAACAGACAACTTGAAAGTTACCTCTGTATTCAGAAAGTTTCAGCATCCCTCTTGATTTCTGTGGAGTACACACTACATAGAAGCCATGAGTCCCTCACCAGACCCTCACTAGACCCTGGCTTCATTTCTTTCAAACTAACTCATCCTCATATTCATGACCGAGAAACTTCAATATATTTAGAGTTTTAGATACTATGTCTTTTAGGAGTCAAACAAATGAAACAAAACAAGAGTCATACTGGTTTCATGACTATTTGGTGTAAGGAGAAGAACTCATGACTGGAATTGACTCTGTTCCTGAAAGGATAAACAGCCATTCCTAGGGTATCAGTAACTGGAGGAGGCACAGAAAAGGAACAGGTCCCTTCTTTCTCTCCTGACTTCCAATCTCCCTTTAGAGATGGCTAAATATCTAGCAAAATAACTCCATGTTTTACCAATAAGGAGCCCTGCTTCTCACTGTGAAAGTTATGGGGGGGAATTATTTCCTTTCTGGGCTCTCGAACGAGAAGCTTCTGTCAAAACCAGTGGTTCTCAACCTGTGGCTCACAACTCCTGACATCTGTCTTGAAAAATATTTACATTGTGGTTCATTACAGTGGTAAGATTACAGTTATGTAAGAGTAACAAAAATAATTTTGTGGTTGTGGTTCACCACAACATGAGGAGCTGTACTAAAAGGTTATGGCATTAGGAGGTTGAGAACCACTTAGCTAAACCATCATCATTTCCCAGGATTTTATTTATGGAGCAAGTGAGGCAAAAGGAAAAGGATAGTACAAAATCCATTTCAACTATGGCTGATAGCAGTGGATTGCAGTGGTAAGGGGCAATGTTTCCAGGAAGTGGTAATGGTGGCTAGCCCCAAGGCTACCAGTGGCAGGCCTGCCAGGGGAGGTGTCCAGTCGCAGGAGACAGCACCAACAGACATTCCCTCCTTATTTTCTGTTCCGTTCTGAACTTGGGTCTTCAACTTTTTTAGGATTCTGGGAGTCACAATAACTTTTAAAGACATTCCAAGTCAATTGGCAGTGAGATCTACTGCTTCCACACAAGAAATCGTGTCTACTGTAGCCAGATGCTCTTTAATATCTCCTGTCTTTGAAGTTTTTCCCTTACTCATGAAATTCCTTATTTTCATGTGCTTACTCATTCACAGTATAGAAATACCTCTTTTGCTCCTAGGCCCACTGTAGTGATATTTCATTTGTACTTTAATAAATAAAGCTTGCCTGAAATCCAGAGAGTAAAACAGCTGCCCTGATCAACCTTACAGACCAGGCAGTGGTAACACACACCTTTAATCCCAGTAGCCACACTAGTTTGCTATAGAAATAGGGAGGTAGTGGTGCCTGCCTTTAATCCTAGCACTGGAGAGGAATATAAGATGGGAGGAGACAGCTCTCAGACACAGTTTCAATTTGAGGATTCCTGGAGGCAGGATCACCATTTTGGACTGAGGAAGAGGTGAGAGCCAGTTTCTGGCTATTTTCCTTTCCTGACGTTCAGGTTGAACCCCAATTTCTGTCTCTGGGTTTTTATTAATTGTTCTACAGCCCATGAATCCACTGCTGTTAAAAAAATATATTGTCGGGACTCCTTCAACATGGCTTCCGCAAAGCCGAGTCTAGCGCTGAACCCGCTGGAAGATGTGAAGTTTCAGAAGGTTCTGACACAAGCCAAACAGCTCGCGAAAAAGCAAAAGAAGAAAGAAAAAAGTCTTAATTCTGGAGTGATCTTTGTAGGCCACCTGCCAGCAATATTTTCTGAAAGTCACCTCTATGATTACTTTATCCAGTTTGGCACTATTAGCAGATTCAGATTGTCCAGAAGTAAACGGACTGGAAACAGCAGAGGGTATGATTTTGTGGAGTTTGAGTCTGAGGATGTTGCCAAGATAGTTGCAGAAACAATGGACAACTACCTTTTTGGTGCAAGATTTTTGTCGTGTAAATTTTTGCCACCAGAAAAAGTTCATAAAGACCTTTCTAAAGAGTGGAATGTTCCCTTTCATCCGCCATTATTTCCGGCAGTGAATCGCTCTAATCAGAAACGGGAGCATTTGCAAATGAAGACGGAATATCGGTTCAAGAAGAAGGAAAAATTACTCCGGAAGAAACTAGCTAAGAAGGGGATCGATTATAGTTTCCCTTCGTTGGTCTTACCTAATCCAAAGAAAGGGGCTTCACAGGGCACTCCAGAGTCCAAGGATAACCAGGATCCCACACCAGTTTGTACACCAACATTTTTGGAGAGATGAAAATCACAAGTGACCGAAATCGATGACAATAAAGATGATGAAATCATTTTCAAACTGCCCGTGCCCCCAGTGAAAGAAGAGGCAGAAAAGACTCCAACACCTGCACGCTCTGGGACAAAAAGACCAAGGAAAAGGAAGAGCAGCCAGTGACCCTGAAAGTACGCTGTGTTGTCTCCAGGCAGATGTGGTTTTGTTATAAAGGCCTACATATGTTACTGGTGCAGCGACATGCAAGTCACTGACGAGATTATTGGAGGAAAACCACATGTTCATGCCAGTGAGGCACGCCATCATGAAGTTGGCTGTTGTGCCCTCTCCTGGCCTGAGTTTTATTCATGCTTCACAGCTGCCTTAGTTTCCTCTGCCTGTATCACATTACAGACTTAAATACCACCAATGATGTGGACTTAAAACCCCAAAGAATATTGCAGGCTTCAACCTTAGACCTCAGAAACTGTAAGTTAAATACACATACAGAGAACAAGAGGCAGATCACATGTGAATACACATTTGCACAAGTGCTGTAATAATCTGGAATAACTTGTTTTCATACATAATTACAGTGAGCTAGTTTCGGTTTGACAGATCAGTTTCAGCAGGTATAGTCAAGATTCAAACAGTGACCAAACTTTTCTACCATTTATCCATGTACGAGAGAACTGAAAAAACTTTGTGTATTGGTGGTGGTGGTGGGTTCCACCATCTGTTTGTTGCTGTGCTTTTGTATTGCTCATGCAGATTTGTTAATATACCTATCAATCATCATATATATATATATATATATATATATAGTCATGTTAGCAAACTCATTGTACTCTCATCATAGGTTAGCATGCTTCCTCTAGTAACATTTTTCTCAAGTCCTAGAAGTATGTATATAGTCTCAAGTCTGGACTGTCACTGGAGCTCTAAAAATTGGTCGAATAAGTAAACAAATGATTTTAAATTGATTTGCATTACTCATGTCTAGTTGATGATGTCTAGGTATTTTATTTCACTGGATAAATCATAATTATAAGTAGTAAAATATCATTTTCCTTTGGAGCCAAAACACCCATTAATTTCAATGTGTAACTTTTAGAAATACTTCAAAAATACCTGTTGGATCATATTCATGTTCATAAAACTTCTAGTATACAAATTTGGTTAATATATCCACATATTACATATGTTACATTTATTAACTAAAATATAAAATTCAAGCCATCGTCATACAGAAAAGGACTTCTTCGCACAGTACTTTATGCAGTATGATTTCTCTGTTACTATTATGCTTACACAGGCGTCTGTCTTGATGCTTCTTCTAATAACAGAGGGCAAACTCTTATATTCACAATTTAAGTACTTACATCTTACTTATTCTGTTAGTGTCCAAATAGAGAGAGAATAGGGAGGAAAATATGAAAACAAAGAGAGAGGGAGGGAGAGAAGGAAAGAGACATTCAAGAGGCAAAATGAGAGAAAACTACACTTCTGTAATAATGCTGTGCTTGATGGTGCATGTCTGTGAACCCAGCACTTGGGAGACAGAGGCAAAAGGATTGAGAGTTCAAGGTCTCCTTCAGTTAAGTTAGAGCCAATTTGGACTACATGGGAACATGTCAAGACAGACAAACAAATCTATATAATTGTGAATTCCAGAACACAATCTGTAGTGCTAACTCCAGGCTAAACATAATACATTGTTAGTAACAGGTTTTCATGCATGCCCAAACCTGGAATCCACACTGCTCTTTTTAAATCTAAAGAGTGGGAATCATTGTTTCAATGGCATCTCATTTAAGAAAAGTAAATAGGCCAAATCTTTCTCTTAAATATCTTCCAAAGCTCCATATATTAATAATAATATAATAATGGGGGCTTGGTTCCCCATTAGGACATGGCAATGCCTTTAGAAGTGGGGTCTGATTGGTAGTCTCTGTTCACTGGGGGTGCTCTTGAGAGGCAGATGGGTTCTTGTTGTCCCCCCGTTCATTTATGCCTTGGCCACGAATTAAGAAGTTTTATTTTACCAGCAGACCTCATAACACTGGACTCCCTCAAAACACACTACAAGAAATGAGGCCAAGATCCTAGACTTTAGCCTCTGAAACTGTAATCCCAAACAAACCATTGTTCTTTAGAAAGTCTCTGCAATTTACTCTAATGGCAAAAAGCTAGGCAAAAAACTAGTACATTTCATCTTCAGTAGCTCATCAACAAAACACTCACTAGGAACTGAGTATTCTGGAAACAAAGGAGAAAAATACAGAAACACTGTTAGCTACATCCACAAAAACATAGACAATAGATGATCTCACAGCAGCAAATCCCAAAGTGTAACATGGCAGGCCTGCTTGTTGGGGTTTCTGTCCTGCCCGGTTCCCACATTTGTTATGTCCCAAGGAAAATCACACAGAGGTCTCCATAAGTTACAAACTGATTGGCCTATTAGCTCAGGCTTTGTATCAGCTCTTATAACTTATATAGCCCATTATTCTTATGATAGGGGAGTTCAGCCAATCACATTCTGTCCATGGGGCGTGTTGACCTAAGGAAAAAATTTACCTATAAACCTGGCGGGTGCACTTCCCCGCCCTCTCTTGGCCCCTGGGTTCCGGAGGAACTTTGGGACTCTGGTGTAAGTTTTCCTTCTCTTTATTAAAGTTGTATCTTTTGTATTAAGCTATTCTGCCTGATTTTTAATTATTGATTGACCACACCTGCTACATTCTTATCTAAGTTAGCCACACAGCTCCGTACCTTTTTCAGCAGGGCAGGTCACATCCTGCTTCTTAGGTGGTTGAGACAGGACTGCGAGAGAGCTTCCTTCTTCCCAGAATATTCCTGTTCTCATTGTCCCACCTCTACTTCCTGTATGGTTTTCCCACCTATACTTCTTGCCTGTAGTAAACACTTGACCAATCAGTGTTTATTTAAAACATAATTGACAGAATACAGAATTGTCCCACACCAACAAGGAAGGGAAAACACACAATAACATCACCACCAACAAAACTAAAATAACAGGAACAAGCAATCAATGATCATTAAAATCTCTTAATATAAATAGACTTAATATAAATAAGTTAACCTATAGAAAGAAACAGGCTAACAGATTGGATAGAGAAACAGAATCCATCCTTGTGCTACATACAAGACAGTCTTCACCTCAGAGAAAAGGGTTGGGAAAAAAATTTTCCAATCAAATGGACCTAAGAAACAAGCTAGTGTAAATATCCTAATATCTAACAAAATAGACTTCAGTCTAATATAAATCAAAATAAACAAAGGACAATTCATATTAGTTACAGAAAAAATCCAAAAGAGAAAATCTCAATATTGAACGTCTATGCCCCAAATACAAGGGCACTCTCATATGTAAAAGAAGCACTACTAAAGCTTAAATCACACATTAAACCCCATACACTAATAGTGGGAGACTTCAATAACCCACTCTCACCACTGGACACATCTGTCAGATGGAAAATTAACAGAGAAAAAGGGAATTAACAGATGTTATGACTCAAATGAACTTAACAGACATTGGTAGAACATTCCATCCAAACATAAAAGAATAAGCCTTCTTCTCAGCACCTCATGGAACCTTTACAAAAACTGGCCAAATACTAGGCAGCAAAGCAAACCTCAATAGATAAATAAAATGAAATCACCCCATGTATCTTATCAGATCACCATGGCTTAAATCTAAAATTCAATAGCAACAGTAATTCCACAAATCCCACAAACACATAGAAATTAAACAATGCTCACCTGAATCATCAAGGAGTCAAGGAAGAAATAAAGGAAGAAATTAAAGACTTCTTAAAATTCAATGAAATATACCACATATCATATCCAAATATATGGAACACAATGAAAGCAGTGTTAAGAGGAAAGTTCATAGCATTAAAAGTCTACATAAAGAAGCTTAAAAAGTCCCAGAAGAAGTTAAGAAAACATTTGAAAACTCTAGAACAAAAAGAAACAAACTCACCCAGGAGAACTAAATGGCAGGAAATAATAAAATTGAGAGTTAAAATGAACAAAATAGAAACAAAGAAAAGAGTACAAAGAATCAATGAGACAAAGTTGGTTCTTTGAGAAAATCAAAATAGACAACCCTTCATCCAAACTTACCAAAAGGCAGAGAAAGAATATTTATAAATTCAATGCAATCCTCATTAAAATCCCAATTCTTCACAGACTTTGAGAGAACAATAATCAACTTTATATGGAAAAACAAAAAACCGAGGATAGACTAAACAATCCAATACAATAAAGGAACTTCCGGAGGCATTACCATCCCTGACTTCAAACTCTGTTCCAGAGCTATAGTAATGAAAACAGCTTGGTATTGGCACAAAAACAGAGATGTCGACCAATGGAATCGAATAGAAGACCCGGATATTAACCCACAAACCTTTGAACACCTGATTTTCAACAAAGGAGCTAAAAATGTACAATGGAAGAAAGAAAGTATCTTCAACAAATGGTGCTGGCATAACTGGATGTCAACCTGTAGAAGAATGAAAGTAGATCCATTTCTATCACCATGCACAAAACTCAAGTCCAAATGGATTAAAGACCTCAATATAAATCCAACCACACTGAACCTGATAGAAGAGAAAGTGGGAAGTAGACTGCAACACATGGGCACAGAAGACCACTTTCTACATATAACCCCAATAGCACAGACAATGAGAGCAACATTGAATAAATGGGACCTCCTGAAATTGAGAAGCTTCTGTAAAGCAAAGGACACTGTCATTAAGACAAAAAGGCATCCAACTGAATGGGAGAAGATCTTCACCAACCCCGCATCAGACAAAGGTCTGATCTTCAAAATATATAAAGAACTCAAGAAACTAGACATTAAAATTCTAATTAACCCAATTAAAAAATGGGGTACTGAACTGAACAGAGAATTCTCAACAGAAGAACTTCGAATGGCCAAAAGACACTTAAGGTCATGTTTATCCTTCTTAGCGATCAGGAAAATGCAAATCAAAACAACTTTGACATACCATCTTACAGCTGTCAGAATGGCTAAAATCAAAAATACCAATGATAGCCTGTGCTGGAGAGGATGTGGAGTAAGAAGAACACTCATCCATTGCTGGTAGGAATGCAAACTTGAGAAACCACTTTGGAAATCAGTGTGGTGGTTTCTCAGAAAATTGGGAATCAACCTACCTCAGGATCCAGCAATACCACTCTTGGGAATATACCCAAGAGATGCCCAATAACACTACAAAAGCATTTGTTCAACTATGTTCATAGCAGCACTATTTGTAATAGCCAGAACCTGGAAACAACCTAGCTGCCCCTCAATGGAAGCATGGATAAAGAAAGTGTGGAATATATACACATTAGAGGACTACTCAGCGGTAAAAAAAAAGAAAAGAAAAAAAGAAAAAAAATGGCATCTTGAATTTTGCATGCAAATGGATGAA